AAATTAAGTTAGTCTTAAATGCGTTTTCAAGATTCACTTTTTTACAACAACTGAAAGCCAAACAACTGATTAATAAATACTAAAAGAATTTCGGGTGCGCCATTTTAATTTATGGAAGTTAAATAGCTTTTTTCTTGACAATCTATCTTTCTAAATAAACATCGCTGGTACATGAAATTTTCTGAATGGAACTTCCATTCAGAAAATCCTCTATATGTAAAGTTGTTCTGTGAAATTCCAATTTTGATTTATGAATGTACATTTAAAATACTATTTTATGCTAGTTTTTTGCGATTACAAATCAGGTCACGAAATCAGATGATCAGGATACGAATGTAGAAAATGATGTTGCACAATAACAGGTGCATGATAAACAAGCGGTAGACGGTATTCTAGAAAGATTTTTGATATTGCATAAACCATAGAAAACAGTGATCCAAAATATATGATTATGAGTTTATTAATTTTATTAGTAATCTATTATAGCTCTAATTACTTATATAAAGTTAAAAAACTATAACGTAATTTTAATTTATATAAATTTATATATGTTTTAAAACTTAAATAAATTGAAATTACGCAAGCTAAATCAAAGAAACTATTAGACAAGATCTAAAAGTTTAATATACGTTTACTTAGACTAAATCTAAACGCTTTTTATACGTTATTTAAACTCCTCCCAATTTGAGGAGGGTTGCAACTTTTATATGGTCAAAATTTTTGAACGCTAAGAAATTATACGATGAAACTTAAAATTTCTAGATGAATATAAGTCTAGTTGGATATAGAACAAAAAATATTTCATCAACTTGTTGCTCTCAATTTTGGGGCAGGGGGAGCGAAAATTTTGGGGCTTTTTTATTCCCACATAAATACGATCATATAAATGTTTGGAGTTAGCTCTATGTCTGGAAGTTAGATATCTCGAAGACCAAAAAATGCTGGATCCACCCCTGATTTAAACGTAAATTAGGCAAAATCTAAATGTTTTATATACGTATAATAATCCTATAATGGAGGTCTAAAATACGTTTGAGTATAGACGTTTTATGGCCATAAAACGTCTATACTCAAACGTATTTTAGACCTCCATTATAGGATTATTATACGTATATAAAACATTTAGATTTTGCCTAATTTACGTTTAAATCAGGGGTGGATCCAGCATTTTTTGGTCTTCGAGATATCTATATATATATACAACGTCCATATATACGTCCATATGGACGTTTGTTTTAAACTTTAATCTGGATTTCATACTAAACCAATAATCGACCAAATCTGAACGTTATGTCGAAAAGATGATTTGACGTATAATAGACGTTTGTGTGTTTACTGGGAGTTTATCCAAAAGTGAGTCTTATAAAGATTTCCTTTTAAATTTGTCGCTAAGAATACCCTTAAAATGACGTTGCTACAGTTGCGCCAAGGTGATTTTAATTTTTATATGAAAATTAACAAAATTGTACTATTTATTATTTTCATTTATATATATATATACAGTATCATTTCCACTCATTTTTAAATATCTTTGTCCAGTTGTTATCTGAAAAAACCATCTTGCTCCATTTGCCATTTTGCTCCGTTTACCTCTACACTTATTAGACGCTGTAACTGTTACAATGATAGTAACAATAGTAACAATGGTGTTAGCAATAGTAACAATGATAGTAACAATAGTAACAATTATAGTAACAATAGTAACGATAGAGTAATTAAAAGTTTTTAACTGCTTAACTTCTTTTTATTATATCTTTATTATTTCTTAAAAAATAGCAATATTAAGTACAAATAAAACTTTTGTAATAAAATTTGTTGTTATTTTAATACACTGTGCCTATTTGAACAGAACCGTAAAGCAGCAGGACGACACAGTCTCCGATCTAATAAAAAATTGATACATGTTTTTAAGCAGTGGCGGATTTGGTATAGGGCGTGGGGGGGGCAAGCTGCACCCCACGCCCCCTAGAACGGTCTAACGGCGCCCCCTAAAACAATCAAAAAATATATATATAAGATCAAATTACTGAAGGCAACCCCGGTCGCCCCTATTTATTGACTTGGCCCCCCCCGCGACACTAAACCTCAATCCGCCACTGTTTTTAAGAGTTACTAATAAACAAACCTAGTTTAAAGTTACATACTACGCAAAATAAGTTTGATTGATAAAACTTAGTTGGGACAGTGCATTTTTTAAAACACTTTTTTCCGTGAAATTTTAAGTTTTAGGTTGTTTAGTTTTTTTTATTACTCTATTTTTAGTCGTGTTCATTTTGTACGTTTTTACACTAAAAAAGTGACTATTAACAAACATATATTATTAATATATTATTAATTATTACTAATTTTTATTAACAAACATATATTAGCGAACCAAAAAGTTAATATACTCACCTTAGTTAAATTAAAAATTAGTCGAATTTTAGTTTTTTCTAATTTTTTTTTTTATACTTTTTCAGTTGACATTTATTACATGTCATATAACATAAACTTGGCATATGAAAGAAGATCATACTGATCTTGTCGCCAAAACCATATAAAAACTGAAATATAAATATATAATAATAAAAGTAGTTAAAATCAAAATAGCAATCTAAAATAGTTGACATAATAAATAGTTACAATTTATATCTCAAAAATATTTTAATATATTATGCATTGAAAAATTAGTATTCTTTAACTTATTTTGGAAAAAAGATTAACTAAATTCTGGAAAAGAGATTGCCAAATCAAAGTTGGGCTGAACAACTTTATTCCAAAGATGCTCGATAAGTTATACAAAATTTGTTAAATTTGTTTGACACATGGGTTCGTTAAAAAAGCTGTTATTTCGCAAACTATATTTATTCTTTGCTTTAAGGGTGCATATATCTTTAAAAACATTTAAAACATAAGGTAATAAAAATGTTAAGTTTATAAACATTAAAAACATTTATATCTTAAATTAGGGATGTACCGAAGCTAAAATTTTGCTCAAGTCACTCTGCCTGTAAATCGAAAAAAATCGCTTTGCAATTATCTAACTAAACGCCGCAATCGTAAATAATTGCCCGCATTCCTATTCTAAAAATCGCTATCAAAATTGATAGCATAATCGCATTGCGGTAACGCCGGTGCTTAAACCTTTCAAAAGGGGAGAGTCAGATAAAAATTAATTAGTATTAACTGCAAATAGAGACTGGGGTTAGTTGCAACAGTGGTTAGTTGCAACAGTGGCATTTAAAAGGTGTTTTTTAAGTTATTGTCCCCAAATGTTTTTACAAATGTTAAACAAAAATAAAAATATTTTGTCTTTAGATAGGTAAAATTTGCTATCTTGCAGATCTACCTATCTAAGGTTAATACTAATTGCTGAAAAACATTTTTTAACATTTCAATGCAACTATTATATGTGCTGCATATTTTAAAACATATGTACTGCAATTATAAGTATTTTAGTACACAAGGTATTTTACCATAACAAATCACCAAGGTTGTTTTTTTTAAATTACGCAATGTCATAAGATTTTAGGATGTAGCTATGTCTTGTTTGAACAAGTTTAATGATATAGAAAAAAGATGACTAGCTTTTATTAGTATTTAATAATTACAAATTAGTCGTAGAATTAGGGTGTGAATAAGAAAACTAATTTGGCTTCTAAGTAAAAAGTTTATAATATAATTCTAAAGTCTAAACTTTAAAATTATATTATAAACAATATCCAGTTTACATCAGTTTGTACTTTAGATTATAATAAAATTACTATTTAGTAACTACTAATTACAAATGAGGGGAATTATTTTTATGATACTTATTAGTCTATTACGTTTAAATCTGCAGTATAATTTAGCGTATAATATGTTTCCCGTTGTGCTGAACAGAGTTTCAGTTTTGAATAGTGTAGCTGTTTTAAATTATTTTTATTTCAATAATTTCTAGCCTAATATAGGATTTCAATATTTTTTGCAACTTTTGTTGATGTATAATGAATATTTGTTTTCCATGACAGATTTTCATCAAGTTAAATACCAAGGAACTTAATAAAGAAAGCTTCTTTAATTTCTACTCTATTGATGATAAATTTAGGCAAATCTTTTGGAAAAGTCGATTTTATTTTGTTAATGTTCAAGGTTAATTTATTACATTTGAACCATGTAGAAATTTATATAAGCTCCTTGTTCTTATTCAAAAAAAAGATGTTTATGTCTTTGTTTGATAAAAATTGATTGGTGTCGTCAGCAAACATGATGTTCATAAGATCATTTAAATTATTGATAAATACTAAGAAAAAGAATGGACCAAGGATAGAACCCTGTGGAACATCACATTTTATTTCAGCTAATGTTTTATTTTTGAGACTAATAGAAAGTAGTTCATCCCCATAGTAGACGAGTTGCTTCCTATTTGACAAGTAGTTTTTGTACTATTTTATCTATTTACCACTTGTTCCGTAGAACTCAAGTTTTATAAGTAAAATCTTACCAATCTCGATTGGTAAAATATCTTTGATAAATCGATAAATACACCAAGTGTATGTTGTGATTTACCAGAAAACTTTGAGACTTGTAACGTGAACTTGTTCAGTTAAAATATTTTTTTTAAAGCCGAATTGGTTTTTATATAGTAAGCTATTCGTAATCAGGAAGTTGTATGTCATTTTGTAAATAAATTTTTAAAAACATGGAGAGGACAAAAATAGGGCGGTAATTATTAAGATTTGATTTTTCACCGTCGTTGTAAATTGGGATAAGTTAGAATAAAAAGTTAGTCGATTATGTTTTAATTAGTCTAAACATGGTGATTGGTTTTACATTTATAATTGTTAGTATAATTTATTTTTATCTTCTTATTAGTATTATTTTATTTGTGTACCACCAATTGGTACAAATATTGTATGAACCACTCGATTACCGATATATTTACGTTACTATTATCTAAAGACGATTATCATCAAACCGTGATTAGAAATGAAAAAATATATACATTTAAAATAATAAAACTTGAAAAAATATCATTATACCTGATTGTAAACCAGAAGACATTCTTTGTTATAAACACGGTAAAACTAATGATAATAAAAAAATAGTTTTTAAAAGTATGGTAATAATGGTGTAATTTTAGCCAAAAAAAAAACAGCATATTATAATTTAAAAAATTGGTCTTTTTTTAATTTTTACCATAATCTTAAGAAAAACTAATATTAAGAAAAATAATTGTACGACGATAAAAAATTCAACAAACCTTTAAACATAAATCGAAAAACTAATCCCTTAATTGTTAAAAGATAACTCGCCGTAAATTTTTTTTGTTTATATAAAAGGAATAAAGTAGATAAGAAGTTTGCATAATTTGTATGTTTTTTTGTTTATAAGTTATTTCTGAATTAAAATTAATGTCATAGGCTGTCAAATGATATGATATTCAAAAAAAAAATTTTAAATAAAAAAGTATATATAAGAGGAGAAAGCTTTTTGTCAGTTTTTAATACACTAGAGTAGTACACGAAATTTCAGAATAATTTCAAAAAAAATTTCTCTAGTTATTGATTCTTTTTACTCGAAAAATGCTTTACTGCCTATTGCAGCAAAATTCATCAAATCATTTTTTGAATCTTTTTCTAGAAAAAATGAAAATTCGTAGCGCAAATGTGCCACGAATTTTTCTATGATCAAATTTTCCTATAATTCACAAGGTTTCCTCTAATCCACAAATTTTCCTATAATAAAATGAATTTCCGAAATTTCCTAATAAATCATATTACACTCATAAAACATACTGCAGTCAGTTCTTAACTTCGCTAAGCATTACTGAGTGCCCATAAATATTGCATCTGTTGTTTCTTTTCTCGCCCTAAAACCAAACATGTTATTGATAAATGCATTGTTTATTATTTTGTTTTCGATCATTCTTTCTAAAATAATCATTTTTTGGTCAAGCAGTTTTATTCTGTGATATAAACAATACTCTATTGCCCCTCCAACTTTTTTATAAATCTTTACCATCCAGCTTTTTCAAAATTATTAGTCATAAAACTTTCTATTAATCAGATTCTTACTGTAGTTAATTATTAGTTGAAGTTAATTAAATTTTTTAGAAATTACAATTATTTTTAAAGTGTCTTTCTGAATTTCTATAGTAAGTTCAAGTTAAGACTTTATCAAACATTGAAAAACCAGATAACAATCAAATAATTTTTCTTTATATTGAGACTTAATATGATATGACTTATTGAGACTAAATTTAGAGCTACTGCTATTGCAATACTTTTAATTTTCTCATCTTAATCGGAAATAAGGTGTTTTAAAAAAATTCTAAGCTAGGAATTAAGTTTTGTAAGTGAACTTGGCTTTTTAAATTTAAATGTATGTACAAATATAAGTAGAGATTGAAGTTTATAGAAATTAAAAAATTTCGTATATTAGTAAATACATAATAAACATAATTTTTTTAAATTTTCCAGATGTTTTTGTTTGAAAAAGACAAAGTATTATCCGTAGATTTACATTAATCCTTATTTATTCATTAATATAAATAATTATACATTATTATCATTTCCATAATCCAAATTTAATTTAAAAAATGAACCCAGAAAATGGAAACCAAATCGAAAAATAATGAGCACTATTAGATATTATGCAAAAGTTTTGATTTTTGTTAACGAACTGGGCCTGTTATTTATGGGCCATATATAGTAAACTGCTTTTGTCATTATTTTGTCTATTTTTACAGTGTCACCTGTGGCATTCCAATCAAAACAGCCCCACACCTTAACACTACACCCACCATGTTTTACAATCGATAATACTCACTGTTTTATCACACATTCAACAATTATTTTTCAAACAATCTTTTCTTGAAACCAAAGATTTAAAACTTCAACACGCTGGTCCACGTTTACGCCATTGATGGTCCATTTTTTATGTAGTTTTGCCCACGTCAGCCTTTTTATTATTCTTATGATTTTTATCAAAGCATTTTAATCAAAAACCTTTTATCACTACTTTAAAGTTTTTTTTATTTTATTATAATTTTTTTTATACTGCAAAAGTAAACATAAAATAGAGTTATATAAAAAAAGCATTTTTTAAAAAAAGTTTATGTCATTCGAATAATTTTGATGTAGGTTAATTAAGCATTTAGACAGATTGTGTATTTAATTAAATGATCTATTTTATAACACTTAGTTGCGCAATCGTGTCAACTTGTATAAATTAAAGTAAATATTTAAGTATATATCAAGTAAATATTTAGGGGGAAAAAATGTCGCGAAGGAAATTTTATTTTGCAGAAAGGGAAAAAAAATTTACGAGGAAATATTATTTCGAAATAAAAGGGGAAAATATTATTTCGAAATAATTTTACCCCCAGAAAGTAAGCTTCGGCTTTGGGGAAATTTTATAACTAGGATTTTATATTTTATGACACCAGCGTCAAACCTGGGACCTTATGGTTCAGAGCCAGAACTCTAACCCTGTGCCACAGCTGCTTGTTAAAAAATATATAAAAAATTTATTCTTTAAAAATAAATTTTTTCAAGCTACAAATTTAACAAAAAAAATTCAAAAAAAAAAAATATTTTCCAATGGTAAATAAAAAAAGTAAAACAAATGTTTTAAAAGTACTTGTCTAATTTATGAACGAAATAGCCAAAAGGACATTTACAATAACTTCAGCTTTTAAAAAAACAACAACAAAAAAACACTGCAAAAACTAACACAAGTAAATATTATTCAGTCCGTTTCACGGCAACGCCTATTTGACAGCAATCGTTTAAACATGATTGCCAGCCTTTCTCCTATTTAACATTTTACTACCCACTGGGTGAAAGGGGCTGACTTAAAAAAAAAAAAAAAAATGGAACCAACCCTATAAAACGCTAGAATAAATTGAATAAAATAAAAAAGGAGAGGTTAAAATACTTGAATTGAATATAATATATTTGTTTAAAGAAAGAAATTATAAATTAATAACATGAACAAATTATTCTTTAGGAATCGGGTTTTTACGACATCATTTCGAAATATTTTAACGGAATCATTACTTATTTTTTTCAAAGTAAACTTATTAAACACTTAAATTAAAAACTTTATACTTTATCTTTATTAAATGTTTTTTAATTGTGAGAATAAAAAATACAAGAATATTATATACAAATTAAAAAAAAAATAAAATAAACAGCTTATAATATTTTTATGAGATAATTTTGAGTTTAAAAAAAAAGAAAAAATTGAACACTTTTATTTGTAAAATATTTAATTGTTTTTTTAATAAAGTTATTTAAATTGTAATAAATAAATATTAAATAGAGCAATTATATTATTTGGCGTAAATTTTTAGTTTGCATTTCTTTGTTATTCTAACGAGCAGAAAATACGAAAATACCGTAACGTACAAAATAAGTACAATTAAGTTCACGCATTTTGACGATTACGTTGTAATCGATATCGTAACCATTCATTTATCTAATTATTTAAAACAAAAATTTAACACCAATTACTTAATAATTACAAAAATTATGAACAAAAACAAAGAAATTAATTTTTTCTTGCTTGAAAATTGCCAAGATGCAAGTTGATTTAACACAAACAATAACTTAAAACATCAGTTAAAAAAGGAATTACCTGTGGAATCGTCCGTTGGATTAGCACAATCAACAATCCAATCGGTGTCAGTAAGAGCTGACACCCCTAATACAAATAAAGGTAAGGAACATCAGACAACTGTCTTTATTATAGTTTCTTATGTAACACTGACAAAAATCTTTATAAAAAAAAAGCAAAAAAAGATGCTATCAAACCTTCAGGGTGGTAAGGGTCATTGTTTTTTTGTATGTCTGATGAATAGTCAGATTCGTAATCATTATTTAAAGTTCTTTCATTAGGAGGATTTTCAGCAGAAGTTTTCAAGTCTGATAAAAGTTGCGATGTCCATTTTTCCAAACCTACAAGAATAATCAATATTAATGTAAATTTATTTTACATATATATAAAAGTTTTATTAAAATTATTATTTCTAATAATTAGGCTTTAATAGAGCAAGTGTATTTTTCGGTTACTATTTTAAGTCCATCACTTTTACTTAAATTTCATTTTACAGAAAGTATTAAGAAATATCATAATGTAAAAACAGATCAATATAGAGCAGAATTACATCTATCAGAACACGTTAAAAATGTCTGTTTGATGACATCTTTGTGAAAGTAAAAGGTATCAATTTGAAAAAATCATTATTTACTAATTTAAAACTTTGTAAACTTCAAATAATAAACTAATATTGAAGACTTACAAAATACGGTCTAAGTTTTTTATTCTGAATGTTTTTATTTTATTGTGTTGAAATATAGGAAAGTTATTTGGAAAAAACTAAAAAAAGTAATATTCTGCATAGGTGGGTAAAAAATTAATAAAATAATAATTGTGTGGCAATAATAATCAATTGTGTGGCAATAAGTGAAAATTCTTTGTTGCATTAAATGAAAATAAGTACACATTATTTCGCAGTAAAAACATTTATGAAACAAAATTTTAGATAAACATATCCACAAATCTAAAAGAAACAATGTAAGAATTGAAGTTTTCACTGAATTGAAACAATGGAAAAAGTTCAAGCAATGGATGAAAAAAAAATAAATAAAAAAAAGTCTATAAAACATAACCTTTACTATTCAGGGGATGCAAACATTCCAATAAAGCAAAAAAAAAAAAAAAAAAAACATTTTAAGTAAGCTGCTAACTTACCCTACACTGCATCAATATAGACGTTTTAGGTTGAATGTCATGGTAATGGAAAAATATTTGGCAAACTATTAGATATGTCAACCTGACAAGGAAACAACTGAAAACGAAATTAAAACCGCATCTTCTTGGAAGATTTTGGTAATTTTTTACTGAAACACCCTATAAAGGGTGTTTATTATGGTGCATATAGGGTGTGTAAACTAGTATAGTGTTAATAAAACTAATCAATATATACACCGTGTGTATACAATTGTTTATGTCACATTCATATTTTTCATGTTTAAAATATATATGTACTTATGCATTTTACCACTGGTTCTTGAGTAAAAAACATTGATATTTGAGTTTATTATCAAAAGTTTATAATTTTTTACTCAATTTACATGTAAACCATTTGAATATTAATTTAAATTTATATTATTATAATAAACATAAATTTAGATTAGTTTATATATGGAAAAGGTTTTAATTAAAATTATTTTATTAAATAGATTATAGAAAATTATTTGACAAGAGATGTTATTCGGAACATCAAAAAGTGATATGCTTCTATTAATAAGGACATAAAATGTACTCTAGTTGAAAAGCCAGAATTGATAAAGTTGGTGACACAGTTTGTGAATCATGGCTTTAATATAGAAATGAATTCTTGTCCATTTGGCATTTGGGGCACTTGTGTTAAAAGTTTTGTATTTAAAGAAGGGAAGTATAGTTAATAAGGTTTTTTTGCATAAAATGTAAGATTCATTGTAATATGTAATTGCATAATGATGTAATATACAATTTTAAGCTTGATACAAAATTATTAAATCATTCTATAAAGTTTTTAAAATGCATAGTTTGTAATTTTAAAAACTTTATAGAACGATTTGAGTATTAGTAAATCAATGGAAGAGTCCAGGAAAAAAGATACATTTGTTTTAAAAAAACTGGGAAGAATACTTGTTACAGATAGATCATTGTATGAATGCCTGATTTGCAGGATTGGACAAGATAGAAAAAACAATAAAAAATTTAACCTATCAGAATTTGTAAATGAACTAAACAACTAAACAAAGTAACTCTGTAGACCTTGATAAATCATTTTGCTTGCATTGCCATCAGAAGGTGGGTAAGGGTATTAGACATCCACACGGACAGAGGGATAAAATTCGAAATCTACAGTACCTCATGCAATCAAAAGGTTCAAAGATTTCCCAGAGAGTTGTATCTTCTGTATTGAAAGAAATTGTAAATTTTTAAATTAAATTATTATAATAAAATTTATTTTCTAAATAGTATTTCAATGAAAGTAAATTTGAATCCAAAACAGGCACTACTGAGGGAAATTTCTACTAACACGTTATTCAACATAAAAAGAAAAACAGACCTTCCAATGACAGCTATAGATTGTATGATGACTGGGATTAGAAAAGACTTAGGGCGCAAAGGTATTGATTCAAATGCATCAAAGATCATTAAAGACAAGTCCTTCTTTCTTGAAAAGTATTATCTCAATCAGACAATTGAATTTCAGCGCAGTTATAAGGTAGTTACAACATATTTTAAACATTTCTTCAAGTATTATAAATATTCTCTTTTATAATATATCTTCTGAAAAAATTCTTTAAGTTGCTAAAAAGAAGGCTTTTGAACTAATTTCCAAAGATGTTGTGTATGTTCCTGAACCATGGAAACTAGTAGAAGAAATATGCAATCAAAGAGATCTGAATCCATTCCGTTGCATTATTCGGAAGGGAATTAATGGTGGTCAAGGGTCTTTAAAAATTTTAATGAAAATTTTTGATCCAGAGTCTTTAGCACTTTAAAACTTTAAGCTCATTGGCGTCAATAAAGTGCAAATTTTGGCCATTGCACGTGTAGTTCAAGAGAGCAATTACAAATTAGGAAGATTAATTGAGATGATAAAACTAAATGAACTCAAATTTTATGTGGCAGCAGATCTCAAGTTAATCAAGTTTATCTTTCAGTAAGTTATTTTATTAGAAACTGAAATAATTAATTTATGCATAAGCTTTTAAATTTGAAATAAAACTCATTAAAAAAACATTATTAAATTTCTATTGTTAGGGGCATGGCAGAAAGTTTGCTTATTGCTATCGTGAAGGAACGAAAGAAGAACCCACCAGCCTAATAAGAACATTTAAAAGTCTTAATGATTGGTACCTAAAGTATGCAGAAGATGGCGAGCAATATAAGAACATGAAGATTTAAAAAAATGTTGTTGATCGATGCTTGCTACAAGAGAATCCAGAAACTCTGGTAATTGACATTGTACCACCTCCTGAACTGCATTTATTTGGGCATATAATGACTCAAGTTACAGATGTGCTAATGGCTAATGAGTTCACTAAAAACTACTTGTTGAGTTAAACAGTTATCAGATATGGATATAATGGAGGAGGGTATGATGGACCAAATTGTCACAAAGTCCTGTCATGTTTAGATGAACTTAGAGCACGGCGATCTATACTGAAGGCCTTGCCATCGCGCAAACAGCTTAGTTGACTGGGGGCCTATTTTGCTTTAACGGCAAAAACAAAACAAAAAAGTGTTCAGTAATTTTATATTAACTCAATGAACTTTTTACTCTCAAACTGTTTCATTTTATAACAAACAAACTAAAATTCAAACAAAATATTTCTTAACTTATAAATTTTTCTCAAATGCAAAAACAAAAAAACTCATATTCAAAAACAAAAACCATATATATATATATATATATATATATATATATATATATATATATATATATATATATATATATATATATATATATATATATATATATATATATATATATATATATATATATATATATATATATATATATAATTATATATATATATATATATATATATATATATATATAATTATATATATATATATATATATATATATATACATATATATATATATATATATATATATATATATATATATATATATATATATAGCGCTCGAAATAATTATTTGAAGGTTGCCGATCAACACTGATCGGCAGAAATAATAAAAGTAATAAAGTAGACGATCAAAAAATTATCCAGACGATCAAATTTTTCTTAACTTTTTCTTTAATAGCGTACAGTTTAGGTGACGTCAAATTGTTTGTTTTACCGCTATCAACCTACAATAAATTGCGTTTTTAGAAAATTCTATTGATTTTGTGCAATTTTCTAAAATATCTTTACCTTAATGCCTTTTAGTACTAAAAAAATCTATTTTTAGAACACTAGCTGAACGCTATTGGTTTTTAAATACAACAGCGTACGTCCGCGTTATCGTTTATAGTTTTTACTTTAAAACTTAGCTCTTAATTCACTTTTTCACTTCAACGCGTTGCCTTTTAAGTGACGTAAAAAATATTTTTTGTGACTCGAACAATTGTTTTTTATATAATGATCGTTTTTTAACAAAAATGACACAATAAAAAGGTAATGAACTTTTTAACCAATATTTGATTATTAAAACTTTTTTAAACTAAAAAAAGGTGAGAAAAAATAATCTCGTTTTGCGCTATTCATTACTTGATTCGTTAGATGATGAATCCAAGTCGATTAATGTTTTTAATCCTGCTTTTTTTGCTCTTTTGGAATAGCATTTTCTTACTGATTGTTTTGGCCTTCGCACGGCATCATTGGTCCATAACTCGATAGCAGAACTTAAATCAAATAAATTGGAATCTTTTTCATCGAAACTTACTCGAATTAAATTTTCTAAACGTTTCTCTTTCAGATAGTTTCTTGTATCCGTTTTTACTCTATTCATTTGTGAAAAAAGGCGTTCAACTTTCGCATTAGAAACAGGCAAAGTAAATAATAGTTCGACAATAAGTAAAACCGGAACCCATTCATTTTTCATTGAGCTAGAAAAAATTTGATGCCATAACTTACGATAACCGGTATTATGTGGTGCTAAATATTTTACAGTGTAGTTTACCAAGCTATGCCAAGCATCCAAAACATCATTTACAGTTCCTGCAAAACCAGCATGTCGCAATGGCGCTCTATAAAAGTCAAAAAGATTTTCTATTCCTTCATCCAGGAATGTTTCATTTTCAAGACTTTTTTAGACTTTTTTACTAAATGTTTAGCATTTACAAAGTCGTTAAGTGCAACACCCTGGAAATAAAACTTTCCTTCTTTTTCAGTCACTTTGGCGAGGAAACGTTTTACTGTTGGCAAATTAATAAACTTTGTTTTTT